CCCCGCCACCCTCGCCTCACCCTCACCGGTAAGCTCGCTCCCTGCCACGTTCTCTCGGCTGTGCGCAGCTTACCCACCAAGTGTCCTGGCGAGACCGGGAAGTCGCCTCCACACTTGTCTGCTCGAGCGTCGAATGCAAAAGACTGTGCCGCTTCGGCCCTTTCTCCGGGCCTTTGTCCAGCTCGAGCGAGGTACGAGCAGCTTGATTGAATAAAACAATCGCCAGGCCCTCGACCCAGTCGCGCAACCACCACCATCGATTGCAAGGACAACCATGCCAACATCAACAGCAAGCACCTCGAATGGGCGCAGCGACGGGCTGCTGCGCTTCACCAACTGCCAGGCGCTGCTACCGGACGGCACGCTGCCGGCCGACATCACAACCTACTCGCTGCACGTCGACCCAGCGGTCGGCAAGATCATCGATGGCCAGTCGGCGTTCTTCGACGCGCACGCCGCATTTACGCACACGATCGATCTGGAGGGCGACTACCTCGTGCCTGGTTTCATCGATGTGCAGATCAACGGCGGATACGGCGTCGACTTTTCGGAGCTCGATGAAGCTAGCCCGGCCCAGGCGGACAAGAAGTATCTTGCGGGACTCGATCGGTTTGCCACGCGCATCCTCGAGACGGGCGTGACGAGCTTTGTGCCGACGATCATCACGCAGAAATCCGATGCGTACAGAAAGGTTTGTCACCGGCCCACTCACATGCACTGCACAGGGAAGGAAAGCTGACCAAGAGGGTTTGGCTTTGTAGATTCTACCGCTGTTGGCGCCACGTGCTCGAGAGGGGCAGGCAAGCTCGCTGGGGTGGCACTGCGAGGGCCCGTTCCTTTCGCCGCACAAGAAGGGCGCGCATTGCTCGTCGCTCATCCGAATCGCCGCGTCCGGCGTGTCGTCGCTGGAGGAAGTTTACGGCAGTGGTCCAAGCGGGTTGGATATGGATGGTGCAGTGAAGCTGCTCACGCTCGCACCCGAGGTCGAAGGGATCCTCCCATCAATCCCGTCGCTCACCTCGCGCGGGGTGACTGTCTCGATCGGCCACACGGCGAGCGACATCGATACGGCACTTGCAGCCAAGGAAGCGGGGGCACGCTTCATCACGCACCTCTTCAACGCCATGGGAAGCTTCAACCACCGCGACCCGGGTGTCATTGGTCTGCTCGGCGATAGCGAGACGGACCTCGAGACTACGCTGCCCACGTCGCACAGCACACCGCGCAAAGGCGAGCCTGCACGCGCGCCCACGCGCAAACCTCGACCGTACTACGGCCTGATTGCGGATGGTTTTCACTCGCACCCGTGCTCGGTGCGTATGGCCTATTCGGCGCACCCGGCTGGATGCGTATTGGTGTCGGATGCTATGCCCTGGATGGACCCGAACAAGCCCGATGGAGTCTACCCCTGGCGAGACGGTCAGGAGGTCGAGAAACAGGGCAACAAGGTCACACTCAAGGGCACCGATACGCTGGCCGGCAGTGTGGTACCGCTGTCGGACTGCGTGACGAATCTGGCGAGGTATGCGGCCGTACCCCTGCACACCGCGGCGTACTGCGCGTCGAGCACGCCCGCACTGATGCTGGGCATCGCAGACCGAAAGGGATTCCTCCGGCCAGGGTGCGATGCGGATCTCGTCGTCCTAGACAAGCGCACGGGCGAGGTCAAGCAGACCTGGGTCGCTGGAAAGCTCGCCTGGAGCCGGAAATGATCTTGTGCCATGGTGCCTCTTTTCTGTGCCTTGTTTTTTGTAATCATATTTTCCCCATCGCCCCCCACCTCCTCTCTTACTGACTTCGGTCACAGTGCAAGGCTCGACCATCGGCGGCGAGGGCTAGAAACGATATGAAATCGAAGTCAAAACCTGTAAGATTTCAATTGAGGCAAGGTGATGCCACCCATCAGAAAGTGTTCGTACAGCGACTTCAGCTTGAGCATCCCAAGGCTCGTCTTGGGGTCCGTCTTCGTTGCTGCTCGGCTTTATCTTTGATTGACTTCTTGGGTGGCGGGTGCGAGATGGGCTCACGACCTGCGAGACTGGAGCGCCGACCAAAGTGGTGAGATCAAGAGCTGCCAAGCTGGATCTACACTTGCAACAGGCGCACCTCACCGCGCATCCCCACACCCACGACTGCAGACAGTAGCGACATCCGTAGCACGAGTAGATTTACAATTTGAACACTGGATCTAAAAGCAGCAACTAGATTAAAGCGCCCGCGGGATTACTGGAAGACAATGTCGTCGTAGCCGCCGTACTTTGCCTGGACGAGGTCGTACCAGTAGTTGGTCCTCATCCTCCAGGGCCCCGTGGTGGCGGCCTTGGGGAGCTCGTTCTCGGCCTTCTTGACATAGGTCGAGGTGAGGTTGAGCAGGGGGCCTTCGGTGAGCTGGTCGCGGTTCGAGGGCTTGGGCACCGCCATGGACTTGTGGTACTTGTCCATGTGCTTGACGAGTCTGACGACGTACTGTGCGGTGCAGTCCGAGCCGAGCGTCCAGGATGCGTTGGTGTAGCCGATCGAGATGGCGTAGTTGGGCAGGCTCTCCATCATGCAGCCCTTCCAGACAAACAGCTCGTTGGCCTTGACGGGCTTCTTGTCCACCGAGGTCTGGATGTGACCGCCAATGTGGAGCTTGAGGCCGGTGGCGGTGACGATGAGGTCGCAGGGGATGCGCTCGCCGTTCTTGAGGATGATCTCGTTGCTGGTGACCTGGTCAATGTGGCCGGTGGCAATGTGCGCCTTGCCCTCGCGGAGCGTCGTGTAAAAGTCGCCGTCCGGGCAGATGCACAGACGCTGGTCCCACGGGTTGTAGCTCGGCTTGAAGTGAGGGTCGAGCGGGATGTCCTTGGGCAGCTGTGCTTTGGCCATGGTGCGGAGGATGCGCTTGGCGACGCCGGGGAAGGTGCGGAAGATGTGGTAGGATGCGTAGATGCGCAGAATGTTCTTCTGACGGATGAGGAACGCGGCCATCCTGCGCGGCATGACGGCACGCATGACCTTGGCGATGGGGTCGTACTTGTCGAGCGAGACAATGTAGGTGGGCGAGCGCTGGACGAGCGTGACGTCCTTGGCGACGTCGGCCATGGAAGGGATGAGGGTGATGGCGGTGGCGCCCGAGCCGATGACGGCGACGCGCTTGCCGCGGTAGTCGTCCTCGGTGACGTTCCAGAACTGCGGGTGGACGACCTTGCCCTTGAAGTTCTTGATGCCGGGGATGTCGGCCTCGAGGGCGGCGTGGTAGTCGTAGTAGCCGGTGCAGGTGTAGAGGAAGCGCGAGCGGAACTGCTTCTGCTCGCCGTTCTGCTCGGCGGTGACGAACCAGCATCGCTGCTCGGTGGACCAGTCAGCGTTGGTGACGGTGGTCTTGAAGTGGATGTTGGGGGTGATGCCGTTCTCGTCGGCGACCTTGTTGAGGTAGGCGACGATCTCCTTGCCCTCGGCGATGTCGGCACCCGTCCACTCCTTGAAGGCGTAGCCGAAGGTGTGGAGGTCCGAGTCGGAGCGGATGCCGGGATACTTGAAGAGATCCCAGGTGCCGCCTAGGTTCTCTCTACCCTCGAGGATGGCGTACTTCTTGTCTGGCAGCTCATCCTTGATGCGGTAGGCGGCGTTGATGCCCGAGATACCGGCACCGACGATGAGGAAATCGAGCACGTCGGAAGAGTCGTAGTTGATCGAGCCCATGGTGGAGATGCTTGCAGTGGAGCAAGATTCGATGGAAAGGGGAGACGAAGCTTGTGGGGATGGAAGAAGGTTGGAAGGCCGGAGCGACGATTGCAAATATATGTGACGACGACCTTGGATGGGCAGCGTCAGTCGAGGCAGGGTGCGGCGCGGCTGTAAGTTGTCAGAGGGCCAGGGCCAGGGAGCGGTGCATGCATGTGTGATTGCGGCTACCAACGTCTGGCTGAGCGGAGTTGGAGCGAAGGATGCGAGGCGGCGAGCATGTGAGAATGGCGACCTCTGCGTGTGGCGAGGCCTGTGCCCGCAAAGAGGGCACCGCTGGCTCGGCGCCGCGGCGGCTTCGGTGGTTCGCGCGCCGTCTCAGCGCGAGCCAGGCGGAATGACGGATGGCTAAGCGGATGGCTAAGCGGCCTGGAAATTCTCGGCAAAGGCGGAAAAATGGGCGCGCAGCCGCCAGCTTTGCAGCGCAGCCAAGCGGTGACGGAGCCACATTCACTATCGGTTACCACCCCGACAAACTTGGAGCTGAACCCTGATCCAAGTCCGGGGTGCCGTCGCTATGAACATGGCTTAGCCTCGTTGTGGTGATGGCCTGGTGCCGAAGCCGATGTCCTTCTTCTGCTCGCCACAATGTTGCGGACAGACAAACAGTCTCGCTGGAATGAAGTGATTTGCATCCGGAAGCGGAAGTCGATCACGGCTACCAGCGCTTTGGCGCTGTCTCCGTCTCTCTCTTTCACTCTCCCGCCGCGCTGTTTTTGCGGGGTACGAGTCTTCCTCCACCCAGCCGCTTCGCCTCTGCAATTTCACAGCTGCGCCCGAAAATGCGCCCAAATTCGCGGTTACCGCCTTGGCGAATTCTCGTGTGAAACCCGCTTCGAAGGGCACTCTCCCATTCCGGCTCGAGCCTTTTCTCGGCCGCACAGGAACCCCACACACGCGCCGCCGTCTCGGCAGATCACTGCAGCACTGGTGGACACCTGAGCCTCATGGATGGAGGGGGATAAACCGATGTCATATTGCTTCGCATGGCGTATTGTACTAGAGTTTGACGTCGATCAAATCACCCAGAGTCGGGCGTTCCATGTCGGCGGTACTCGACAGCAGACGTCAGGGCGTGGTCGAATGCATGGCGCCAAAGGGCGGATAGCCGTCGACTGCCAAGCTGGCCGAATGCACGTTCCAGTCGAGCTCCTGCACGAAGCCCTCTCCCAAGCTGCCGCCTGTCTCCGGACCCTGATCTTCGTTCGCCTGTCTGTGTGCTGCTGCGCCCCGAACGGTGTCGGTGGGGCTGGGTGGGGCGCCAGGCTGGATGGTGAGCGGTGCAGACTGGCGTACGGCGTCCTTGATCTCAAAGCTGAAGCTGCCCGTAGGCGAAACGGTGGTGGCGCAGCTCGTACGTCGTGCCGTGTGCATTGTGCTGTTGCTAAAGCGAGAAGGCAGCCCTCCCTCCCGACGCGACACTGCCGAGACGGGAACGCTCAGTTCACCCCTTCGAGCGGCTGGCGCTTCGAGGTACACCGAATCGCGACTTGTCGGTCCCACGATGCCGTCGGTCTCGATATAGATCGCTCCATCCGCATCATCGTCTGCAGCGTTACGACGGAGGGCGCTGCGAAAGGTGGTGCCTGCTTTCGACATAGGTCGGAGGGTGGCCGTACTGGGTCGGTCGCGAATGACAAGCTGCGAGCCTTTGCGCGTCATCTCGATCTCGCGACCCTTTGAGCTCGTCGGCCGTCCCTTGGAGCTGTGGGGACGCGACAAAGCCAAAAGCCCTCCTCCTGCAGTAGTGTTGCGGGCTCCTTGGGCGTCGTGATCGAGTGAACTTGATCCCGAGATGGCTGGTTTGCCAAAGCCAGTCGTGCTGGGCGCAGTAAGTGGACGCGTCTTGTCATCTGCGCAGGATCGCGTCGGGGAGAGTTGACGCCTAGGAGTGTCGGGGGAGAGCAAGCCGTCACGGCCACGCGTGCACATCTCAAAGTGCGTCGAAGTGCCCGTGTGGATCTCATGCACCTCGGCGATCGAATCCAGCGGACGAGGCGCTACGATCGTCGGCATCGCCACGCGTCCCGATTCCAACCCTCGCTGACCAGCAGCGGAAGCGACTCCGTTCGATCCGGGTGCAATGGCGTGCGACATGGGCTTTTCGTATGTCAAAGCCGCCGAGGGAGGTGTGATGTTGACCAGCGTCTCGTTCGAATCCGTGTGTGCCGCATAGGGAACAGGAGTTTTGACGGCTGATGCGTAGGCGTGCGCATCTGGGCGGCCGTCCAACGAGTGCAGACGCTGCGACTTGCTCGTAAGCTGGCACGAGTTCTTTTCTTCCGTCTCGCTCGTGCGTCTGCGTCGATAGCGTCGCAAGAGCCACATCACCCCGACGAGCACTGTGGCAATCACAATGACGCTGCTTACCACCGCTACCATGGTGTGGTGCGACCTATCCCCGCCTGCGCTCGGGTCAGCAGGGCCAGCACCCGAGCTCGCCTGCGCGTCAACGGGCGTCGTTCCATTGAAGCTGACGTTGGCCGGCGGAGGAAGTGAAGGCGTTGATCCCTGACCCACTGGAGCAGTAGAGGGGTGAGGTGGGGTGGCCACTTTGGCGCCCGTATGTGCAGGAGCGGACGGAAGCGAGTTGACCGGAGGCGGCGCACCCGAATGGTCTGGTGCAGGCGGCAGATTGGGATCCGACTCTGCGCCAGAATGGTCTGGAGCCGACGGGAGGATGGGATCGGGCGCTGCACCCGGAACGGCAGGCGCGGGTGGCAGCTCCACATCCTCGGACGGCTTGGCAGCATCGATCACGGCGTTCAGCACGTCTTGCTCGGCAAGAGCCGTGTCGTCGCGCTTTATCATCCGCATCCCTCCCGCCGGCTTTGACGACGATCGACCTGCACGGCCTAGACGTGTGCGCCGTGCAGCATGGCGGGATGAGATTTGGGCAAGACGGGCCGGATCGTAGGCACCGCGCTGTCTGCGCTGCTCCGCCAGCATCCTCCTGTAGCCTGCTCGGTTGGCATCTTGCAGTGGCATGATTTTGAGTTGCTGCCTTCAAGATACAGGCGAAAGATTGTGCTTGAACGAATGTAAAGAGCCGAAGCTGTTCGGAGAGATTGTAAGTGCACCTGTGCCTACCAGCAGAACAGGTGGTGTGTTCACGACGAAGTCCTAAAGAGCTACCGCCACATCCTGGCGTCCCGGACGAAGTTCGAGCGTGTGCCCATGGCAACTCGCAAATGCAGTAGGCAGTAGTGTGGTCGGAGGTGCGTGCCATACCGCCCACCGTCCAAGCCACCAACAAGCCCCACCCCACGCCCACCCTCTCCGGGCCGAAGCATCACCCCATTTCATCTCGCACCACCACCACTTTCCGATTTTACACCCACATGACGGCATGGCTTGCCTTGCCGACACCGCACGCAATCAAAGACGGCAAACTTATTTGCATTGCATCCTACGCTAGCTCGCACTTCTAGGCGAGGGTCTTGTTGAAAAAGTCGGCGAGACGCTGGTAGACGTCCTGGAAGTTCTTTTTGTTACCCTCGTCCTTGAGATCAGCCCTGGCAGCTGCCCAGCCGTGGTGGGAGTCGGGGTAGTGCTTGTAGACGCACTGGCTGGCAAAGTCCTTCTTCTGAACCTCCTGCTCGAACGCCTCGACGGCCTTGATGTCCTCGTCCTTGGAGGGGAAGTTGGCCACGGGCACAGTGAGGCCCGTGGCGTCCTTGGGGTCCACCATGGCGGGGTGCACCTGGGCGACCGAGCTGAACTTGGTGCCGGCGCCGCCGTTGAGCACGGAGAACTTGCCGCCCCAGCAGAAGCCCATCAGACCGAGCTTCGAGGCACCGTCCTTCTGGAGGTCGGCAACGACAGCGTCCAGGTCGGGCTTGCGGGCCTGGAAGTCGCCAGCGGCGCCGAAGAAGTCCTGCAGCGCCTGCTTCTTCTCGTCCGTGTTGGGCGGGTAGTACTCCTGCGGGAAGGGCTTGCCGCGGAAGAAGTCGGGCAGGACTACGCGAGCCTTGGTGGCTTCGGCAAGAACGTCGACACCCTGCTTGGTGGTAGGCCAGAGACCGAAGATGTCGTATACGACAACGATCGCCTTCTTGGCATCCTTGGGGCCGGCAACGTACGTGTCCAGACCGCCCAGCTTCAGAGTTTCACCCTTGGGAGAGCTGCGAAGACCAAAATGTGCAAGAGGTCAGCATTACGTAGGTGGAAAAGGCAAGGGTAGATGTCAACTTACTAGTCCGACTGGACAGGAGGGATGGAGCAGCAGGCCTCGTTGGTGTTGTGGGTCGTCATTGTTGTGTGTGTATAGTGTGAGTCTGAGAGGGTTGAGGGGAAGCAGGAAAGCAGTCAGCGCTTGCTGTTGCGTTGGAGTTGGCTGCCATTGCTGACGCCGATGCAGCACGGATTGCATAATATTGGGAGCACGGCGGAACAGCGACGCCGGCAGCCGTTGGGTCGGCAGAGCTTGGGCGTTGCCAAGTGATCACTTACAGAATTATAATCTTCACTCGAGATGGTGTGGAGCGGAATGAAAGAGAATGTCATCTACCAGGTGCGTTTCTATATATGAGGGGCTGCTTAGCCCTGCGCGATCGGACGGGCGCTTCTGATCCCCGCGAGAGGCCGGACCATTCGAAGAAAAAGCTGGCGGCTGGGGCTTACAAACACGGACGCTGTGCAGCTGCTGCGGTCGAAGCTACACTGCAACGCCGAACCTGCGCACCATCTCTGATCTCATGCGGCGTTAAGAACCACGCCCAACCTCCACTTTCGGGCGAAATTCCAGCCATTCTCCTCAAACAGCCCCGCCGCTGAATTCCAACAGCTTCTGCGCACGCACCACGCAGCTAATTTTTTTTTGGGTGTGGATTGCCGACCGCCGCGGTGACGCTGTTTCTGGCCGGTGCAGCGGTTTCCCCATTCGCCGACGACGCACGCAGACATCATTGCTCGGCTCCGACTTCGCTCTCGCCCATGCTGCTTGCCGGCGGTAATGCACTCTCTACAAGAGCTTGGCCCGAGTATCGCCGACTCAGGCACAGACCATGACGACAAAGATCAGGCTTGCATTCAGACTTGACAGATTCGACAAGGCGACGTCTAGTGGGCCTTTTTGGCATCCTCGCGGATCATGTGGGCGGCCTTTTCGCCGACAGCGTAGACGGCCGACTGGATGTGCGACGAGACGTGGATGGGGATGATGGATGCATCGGCAACACGCACGTTGGCGGTACCGTACACCTTGAGCCTTGCATCCACCACGCCGCCCTTTTCGCGGGGCATCATGGAGCAGCTTCCGATCGGATGGTACTCGGTGCTGGTTACATCCTTGGTGAACTCGCGGAAGTCGTCGTCCGAGGTGCATTTCTCCGGATCGGGGTCCTGCCTTGCGACGGTAATGTCCTTGAGTGGAGATGTGGCGGTGATGGTGTCGCAGTACTTGACCGCCTTGGAAAGGATCTCGAGATCGGCGTCGACGCTGAAGTAGTTGGCGTTGATCTTGGGCGGTTGCGCGGGGTCGGATGAGGCAGCGTGGATCGTGCCGCGCGAGAAGGGCTGCTGCAAACACGCCAGGATGCTGTAGTACTCCTGGCCTTCCTCTGGCGCAGAGAAGGTGGCAAAGTAGCCAGGCGTAAAGATGAACTCGGTGAAGGGGCACTTGTCGTCGTCCAGACGCGCAAGCTGCAGCTGCACCGTCTCGCGCACGCCGTTCGAGTACTGGCTCCAGTCGATCTTGTTCACCTCGTCCTTGATCTTGGCAATCTCGTCTGCAGAGAGGTACTGCTTCAGAGGGACGTAGGCGAAGCCCGAGATGATCGACGCAACGATGCCCCGATCGTCGCCGCCGGCCGCGTACTGCTCCATGGCCGCCTTGGCAAAGTCGTCCTGGCGCATCTTGTCCCAGGTGGTGTGGCCCGGCTTGAGCTTGAAGGTGGTGGTGGTGTAGAGATGGTCCTGCACGTTTTCGCCCACGTCGAGCTCGATGCGCTGTTCGATGCCCGCTGCCTTGAGCACGTCCGCCTTGCCGATGCCCGAGAGCTCGAGCAGGTGCGGGCTGTTGATCGTACCGCCGCTCACCACCACCTCCTTGCGAGCCTTGACCGTGTAGGTGGCGCCGCCGACCGAATACTCGACACCCGAGGCGACGAGCTCGCCTGCAGCGTTCTTGGCATCGGCAAAGAGGATCTTGGAGGCAAGGGCGCCGGTGATGACCTTGAGGTTGGAGCGCTTTGCGTTGGGAGCATAGTAGGCGCTGGCCGAGTACGAGCGCACGCCGTTCTTGGGGCACAGGGTACCCGGCGAGACCCAGAAGCCGGCGTTGCTGCCGGCCAGACCGTCCCTGACGTTGGCGAGGCCGAGACTCTTGAGCGCCTCGAACCACGGGCGCTGTGCTTCGGTGTACCACTTGCTGTACGAGGTCTGGACCGGACCGTCGGAGCCGTGAACCTCTTCGTCGTACGTGGCGAGGTGTGCGTCTTGCAGGCCCTTGGACGGCTTTTCGAGCGTGGCGCTCTTGCGCGCAAAGTTGGCAAAGTCGTCCCAGGACCAGCCCGAGTTGCCGAGCTTGCCAATGTCGTCGTACTCGCCCTTGTAGCCGCGCTGCCACACGAGAAAGTTGAGCGCGCTGCTGCCGCCGAGCACCTTGCCGCGCGGCCACGGGTACTTGCGTCCGTTCGAGTGCTGCTGCGGCTCGGTCTCGTAGCACCAGTCGTAGTCCGGGTTCATGGGCGTCTGACCGATGAACGCCGGGTAGTTGATCTTGGGGCACTCGGGACGCCACAGCCCCGCTTCGATCACGCCAACCGACACAGAGGCGTCTTCGGACAGACGCGCAGCCACCGCCAGACCCGCCGTGCCGCCGCCAACGACGACGTAGTCGAACTCGGTGAAATCGTCGGGCTTGACGCCCGTATCGGTGTAGGGAGCTGCCATGATGGATGGAGAATCGAGTGGTTTAAGCAGGATGGGGCTAGGGTACAGGATGGACAAAAGACGGGCAGAGATGGTGCTGGTGACGAGCGCGCCTAGATTTATACCCGAGCGTGGTGGGCGACAGGGTGCGGGACAGCTTGGCGGAAAGGAGGCTGCGGCGGAGCTGGAGCTAGCGGAGTGCCGTAGCTGCGGACACTCAACAGCGAGTGGCGGCGAGTCAATATCCTTGCGCTGCGCAACACCAAGGCATGCATGGGCGCACCGACAGCTTCGGCAATCGGTTGTCGAGCAGTCACGTCAAGCGCAGGCCCGAGCGTCGAGGTGCTTCGAGCGCAACCCGAGGCACTTCCGCATCTTAGGCTCGCTGTCGCTTCCTGCAGCAAGTGAGGCTTTGTGCGCTGCGCAAGCTTCTCCCACCTCCTTGCCTTGTTCACACAGCACTGGCTTGCCTTAGCGCCCGCCAGCCGACGCTCGGATCTACATCCACTCGAGCGCCGTTCAAGCCACCTTGCTCTTCCACGCCTCATTGGTGCCAGAGATGATTCGCATGCGCCGTCCATAAGCTCATCCGAAGCCAGCTTTCAATCTAGCACGGGCCTCCTTGCGCTTCCGACGCGCGCCAAAAGCTGCCGAATTGCACGCGCCCACGGCAATTTAAGCTCTGCTCTCGCGGCGTGCCAAGTTCCACGCAGCCAATCCACGCTGAGACATGCACAGCTGCAGCCGAGCGGGATTCAGCCGCCAAGTCACTCCAACTTACCCCGCGCGACCATGCCAGGGTAGCAGCAGCAGCACTTCTTGCCGCGACTTCCAACCATTGCCTCGACGTTGCCGTGACTGCCTGTCGCAATCAGCATCACCGGTGTTCGTATCTGTTGGTACCATTGTGTCGGCGATCTGTGGCTGAGGAGCGGGACGCCTTTTTTCCCTTTCCCGCGCACTTCATTGCTGGCGCTGGGAATCGTACAGCAGTGCCGCATCCATGAGAACCTGCGCACCGGTCGCACTGCGCAGCCACACAAGGTTAGATGAAGTCAGTTTTCAGGTTCACTCCCACCCATTTCTCATGCAGATCACCGCGCAGCTGTACCCACCAGTCTTCCGGCGACGAATACTCCCGCGGATTGTGCGAGACGCCGTCCTTGCTCGTGATGAAGACCATCGAGGAAGGGCACACCTTGCTGGTCGAACATGTGTCGTGACCGGCGCCGCTGTAGATGTCCACGCCTGCATCGCTGCCGTAGTTGGCCTCGACTGCCTTGCGCACGCTGTCGATGCAGTCGCGGTGGAACGTGATCGCGGGGCTGTCGAACGTCTCGACCCACTCAAGGCTGCACCCCTTTTCGCTTTCCTCGGCCGCAATGTGCTGCGCCGCCGCTTCGATCTCGCTGCACAGCGCCGCAAGCTTGTGCGTCGAAGGATGTCGAACGTCCAGTGTGAAAAAGACATGGCCCGGGCATGTGTTGACGCTGCCAGGCGAGAGACGCAAGATGCCCTGCATTCCGCCAGAATGCGGAGCACAACAAGGCGTCAGCTAGTATTCCTTGGACTTGCGTCTTCTTGGCATCGGGACTTACCGTGCTTGCGAGGCCTTTGTGCTGCTTGGCGATGCGGTTGCTCTCGACAATGATGCGCGATGCGCATAGCATGGCGTCGGAGCGGGTGTCGAACGGTGTGGATCCGGTGTGGCATTCACGACCGCGCACGTTGATGTCGAACCATTTGTACGCCTGCCCGCCCTGAACGATGCCCACTCTCTTACCCGTCGCTTCCAGGATCGGACCCTGCTCGATATGAAGCTCAAAGTGCGCCGCTAGCGGCGTGGCTTCGTGGCTGCACCGCGTCGATCCGAGGAAGCCGATCTTGGCGAGCTCCGACTTCATCGTGAGCGAAGAGTCCTTCACGTCCTGCAGATTCCATGCCTTCTCCAGCGGCACGTCGTGGCACCACACACCCGATCCGACGATCGACTGTGGGAAGCGTGCGCCCTCCTCATTGGTCCAGTTTACCAGCGCCACAGGGTACTCGGTCTCCACCTTGTGGTCGTTCATCGTGCGCAGCGCTTCCAGTCCGGCCATCACGCCCAGGATGCCGTCGTACCTTCCACCGGTCGGCTGTGTGTCCAGATGACTGCCCATCGCAGTGGGCTTGCCGTCCCTCTTGCCTTTGCGGATCATAAACATGTTGCCCATCTCGTCCACGTCCACCGAACAACCTAGCTTCTCCGCCTCCTTCCACAGCCATCGTCGAGCAGTCGCATCGTCCTCGTCAAGCGTCAGACGCGCCATACCCGTCTCGAATGGTCCGTCGCCGTATCGGTGCGCTGCGCCCCATTCGCACGTCTCGTGCAGTGTCTTCATCATCCGGTCCGCATTGATCTTGAGGCTGCCGGCGGTGTAGCAACGTGCTGCTGCGGGCACACGCAGCGCCAGGCGGCCGATGCCCGAAAGGCTACCCCTAGAGAGTCGTGCAGTGGCGAGCGATCCAGGGATCATCTTGCAGAGTCCAGGTGGTTGCTGAGCGGACACGTTGCGTTGTCGTTCGGCGGCATGGAGATAGGCAGCCCGGTCCGAGAGCAAAGTCGAGTCTGTGCACGATGTCTAGACGCCGGCCAAGTCCCCGAAGACCCTGGTTCGTTTTTGTTAGATCCGCATGCACCAGGGGGATTTCCGGCTTCCGAGCGAAAATTTGGATTTTTGTTGCACTTTCTCCACTCACTTCTTCTTCACCTGCTCAGACGCCGGTCTTCCTCAGCCTCGACACGCTCTTCTACACCAGCTCCATCGACGTTAGCGCCATCATGCGTGCCAAAGCGAAAGAACAGAAGCTGGCTTCAAGAGCATCCTCGTCATCGGAAGCATCTTCGAGTCGGAGCTCCTCGCCTGTTGCCAATCATGGCGACAATCGATACTCGGCCTCTAGCAGCGTCTCTGGAAGTGACGGTGACGTAGATGTCGAGAGCGATGAGGAAGCAAATTCGGACGATGAAGAGTCGATCAAGCAGCCCAACATCGACGCGGAAAAGGCGCGCACCAAGCTGCACCACGTAGCAAAGACGCTGCGCGCGACGGCCAAGAAGACCAAGACGTTCGAGGTGCAGAAGCTCGTCAAGAAGCTCAAAGGCCTCCAAAAGAAGCCTTCGCTCGCCGACCAGGCCAAGCTTGCAGAGGCCGAGCTCGAGGCACTAAAGTCAATCGATATCAACCTGCTCGCAGGCCGTGCGCTCGTCACCAAGATGGTCAAGGCGAAACTCCTGCCCCGCCCGGCCGAGCTCGACGCAGCCACCGACTCGTCTTACCTCTACCTGCCACTGGTGAAAGCAGAAGCGCTTCTGGGCGAGGTCGTTCTGAGCGACCCGGTGGATGCGGATGGAGATAGGGCGCTCGAGCGCGCCAAGGCCAAGATCACCTCCTCCAAGGTGCTGGCGGATGAGGTGGGCAGGTTTGTGGACGAGCTCAAGAAGCTCGCCGGTATCGAGCCCATCGCATCCAAGAAAAAGGATCCAGAGGTGGATGTCAAGGGCAAGGGCAAGGCGGTCGAGCTGGACTCGGACGAAGAGGACGATGAACGCCGCGAGTGGTCGGGGTCGGATGGCGATTCGGACTCGGACGAGGAGCCTATGCGTGCGGGCGCCGAAGACTCGGACGTGGAAGACGATGATGCGGACGAAGAGGAGCTCGTGCGCGTTGGAAAGCAGAAGCTCGCGGCGCTGGGCGACCTTTCGCAGTGGGATGACATGATCGGCAGTGACTCGGGCGCTGAATCGGATTCTGACGACTCGAAGCCTCGCAAAGCACGCAAGCGATCCACTCGCAGCTCGGACGGCAGCAGTGACGATTCGGAAGGAAACGTCTCGTCTGACAGCTCAGCAAGTGATTCCGAATCGAGTGATTCCGACTCGGACTCGGACTCGGACTCGGATTCCGAATCGACTTCCGAATCGGGTTCCTCTGGCGGCGCACGATCGAAGAAGCGCAAAGCCACAAGCAAAGACAAGTCCTCGAAGCGAAGCAAGCGTTCATCGCCAGGCACTTCGGCCTTCCTGCCTTCTCTGTCCACCGGCTTCATTGCCGGGCGTAGTGACGACGAGTGGTCGGATGCCGAGGCGGACCTGGCCGACCGCGATGTGTCCGAACTCAAGAACGGCAAGAAAGAACGCAAGAACAGGATGGGTCAACGCGCGAGGAAGGCGCTGTACGAGAAAAAGTACGGCAAGAACGCCAACCACATCAAGGTGCGCGAAGAACGCAAGGCGGCCAAGCACACCCGGCCTGACCGTCCGACTGGTGCAGGGTCGGGACGCCAACGTCCACCTGCCTTCCAGGCTCCTGCCAAGCGAGACGGTGGATGGGGAGGTCAAGTTGCCCCCCTGCCCAAACAGCCAAAACGTCCTTTCGTCCCGCGCAGTGAACCTCCTCCTCCCGTATCGGCCGCAGCTGCACCTGCCAAACCCGCTCATAGTCAGGAAATGCATCCATCCTGGATCGCCAAACAGAAGCAAAAGGAGCTCATGGCACAGGTCAAACCGGAAGGCAAGAAGATCGTCTTTGATTAACGCTGTCGCAATCGACTTTATTGGTGCATCGTAGCGTGATGGTGAGGCTTAGGAACGACGTTCGGCGATCTTGATGAGGTCTGCGACGACGCCCATGGCGGTGACGTCTGCACCAGCGCCCGAGCCCTGGACGAGCAGGGGGCGGGCAGAGTAGCGCTTTGTGTGGAAGGCGATGATGTTGTCCGAGCCGGACAGCGACGATGCAAACGGATGCGACGCCGGGTATGTCTCGAGCGACGCTTTGATCTCTTTGTTCTTGACGTCGATCACGCCGACGTATCGCAACACCGAGCCGTTGTTGAACGCCTCCTTGTTGAGGCTATCGTAGTCGCCGTCGAATTCGGGCAGGCGCTGAACGTACTCCTCGCCCGAGGCGACATCGGCAAGCGGAGCCGGAGTGAGCGAGTGGGTAGGGACCGAGAGGTAGCCCTTGGGCAGAGCATCCTTGAGCTCTGGCACGAGTCGCGAGAGGATGGCAAGCTTGCGTGCCACGTCCGAACCCGAGAGATCGTCGTTCGGGTGCGGCTCCGTGTATCCGTTCTCCTTGGCAAACTTGACAATGTCCGAGAACTTCTTGTCGCCGCCCTTGGGCGTGGAGAACTCGTTGAAGATGTACGAGAGCGTGCCCGAGAAGACGCCCTCGATCTTTGTGATCTCGTCGCCCGTGTTGACGAGGTCGACGAGCGTCGAGATGATGGGCAGACCAGCGCCGACGGTCGACTCCTGGTAGACAAGCGGGCCCTTGGAGCCAGCCTTGTCGTTGGACTTGTACTTGAGGATATCGTTGTACAGCTCGATGGGGCCAGAGAAGGCCTTCTTGTTGGGCGTGACGACGCTGAGACCCGCGGCGAGGAACTCGGGATAGAAGGCAGCCACCTTCTCGTCGGACGTGTTGTCGACCACGGCGGTATGGCGTCCCGACTCGCGCGTGATCTTCTGCAGCTCGACGACGAGGTCAGGAAGCGCAAGCGCCGAAGTGGGGCTGTTTGCGAGGAGGTTCTTCCAGTCTGCGGAGCCAGAGAGCGAGAGCGGCGAGGTGGGTGTGCTGAGAAGCGTCTTCTTGCTGTTCTGCAGAGCGACGAGGTGGAGCTTGGACGAGAGACCAGCGACGGTGGTGAGCTGCTGGATGACCGACGAGCCGACGAGGCCGACGCCGATGATGGCCACGTTGATTCCCTGGGTTGCCGACATTGTTGGTGTGTGCGTGTAGGTGTGTCTGCGATGAGCGATGGATGGTGTCGAGAAGGAAGACAGCCTTGCACTGTTGGTGTGGGTGAGAGTGGGCCTGCACCGAGTCACAGCGTCGCTGCACCCACCGCACGAGCTGCATAACGTGCTTTTTCGCCCCAAATGCACAAGCCAGCTCCAAGAAAAGGCGCGGAAATTGGCCGAAACACAACCTTCTTACCGCACGAGACAGCCAAGCGACGCAGCCCGGAAGCCGAACGAAGCATGTGGAGTTAAGGGCGCAGTTTCGCAGCAGCCGGTCCGCCCTGAAAGCCGGCTTCCAGAGGCTATCGAGCGAGAAGGACCCTCCGCTGCTTCGGTGAGAGGCCGCGGTGCCTGACATAAGGCGTCGTTGCTGCTTCCTTTGGACCTTCCTACAAGTAGGAGCCCCTCATCCGCAGTTCTTCATCCCGACGTCAACGAACCTAGCTTCACACGTGCATCATGTTCACAGGAATTGGTAGGTACATCGGCTTCACTTCGAACCATCTGGCCAACCATTGACGCTCCTCCTTGCATCAAACCTCTGCAGTCGAGCTTCTGGCTCCCATCATCGACATCTCGCCACAAGATGCGACCAAGTCGGGCGGCGGAGGATACTCGATGACCATCGGCAAGACCGCCACTATCCTGAAGGACTGCCATATTGGCGACAGCATTGCAGTCAACGGCACCTGTCTCACCGTCACCGAATTCGATGCGGACGAGGCCAACCACGGCGGCTACTTCAAGATCGGCGTCGCTCCTGAGACGCTCAAGAAGACCAACCTCGGCGAGCTCAAGGTCGGCGATGGGGTCAACTGCGAGCGCGCCATGGACGCTCACACGCGCTTTGGCGGCCACTTTGTTCAGGGCCACGTCGACACCACCGCCCTCATCCGCTCGGTTGTTCCCAACGGCAACGCACTCACCATCACGCTTCGGCTGCAGCACAAGCCCGAATCTCTTCCGTTGCCCTCGAGTCTGTCCCCCTACCTCATCCCCAAGGGCTACGTCACGCTCGACGGTGCATCGCTCACGCTCATCGAGGTCTCGCCTGCCACGGGCGGGCTGCTTCCGTCCAACTCTACCGCCGGAGACGTGCGAGAGGATGCACAGACACCCAAGAAGGAGATCGTCGAGTTTTCCGTCATGCTCATCGCGCATACGCAGGAAGTCATTGGTCTCAGCAGGAAGAAGCCCGGCGACACGGTTAATGTCGAGCTCGACATGGTCGGCAAGTACGTCCACCGCGCAGTGCTGGGTTCGCTCGAGAGGGATGCCGAGGAGCACGAATCGGCAAACAGCGTGGATGCAGGTCGCAACGTTGTGGGTACCGCTGTGGGCCCGGCTTCGTCACAGGCGCTCGAAGGCATGGTCGAGAGGATAGTCCGCAAGGTCCTCAGCGAGCAAAAGTAGCCTTCCACACAAAACAGTGCACCAAGGCCGAATGTAATAACAAACGACGTCTACACCCACTGCATGCCGATAAGTCACATCCCAGTGTGGTATCGCTGGTGGAAGGGAGGGGCTCGTTCGGCGTACGGAGATACCGGGTCGCGCGCAAGTAGTACGCAACAGGGGGAGACGGAAATCGGTCTGGCAGATACAGGTGGATTGGGCCGGCAGAGGTGGGTTGATGGAATCGCGGACGCCCACAGTGGGGCGAGTGGGGCGCATCACCATACAGGTCACGAAGGCTCGGTTCCCCTCTTTCAATTCGCTTGCATGCAATGATAGCAGCCTAGGTGGGTTCAAGTTGGTAGCTTGTGGGCCGGACCCCGATGTGCACAGCTTTCCGTCTGGCGCTAGGAGCGGTGATCCCTTTGATGCCGTATCCTCTTCATGCCGTATATAATAGCGCCTTGGGATTCTCTTCGCTAGTCTATCCCATTAACTTCGACTGTCTTCCCATTGATTGTCTTCCCATTGATTGTCTCCAACAATGTTTCTCAAACAGCTTCTCCTTGGCCTCGGCGTGTGTGCGGGTCTGGCCGCTGCTGCCAACAACGCCCGTACCCCCATGACTGTCAACAACTTCCAGTACGAGCAACGCTGTGGAGCAAACAGTGACCCTGTCACTCCTTGTTTCACCTTCATCGGCGGCGACCTCAAGGATGTTCATGCCGAAATTTACGCCGGTGGTGCTACCGGCCCCGCCACCGACTTCCTGCTCAAGGACGATCAGATGCGAGGTGGGTATCTGCCTCCCTTGGAAACCCCCTATCCACTGTGCTAACGGTTTTGCTCTTTTGTGCGTGATTCCGCGACAGATTTCACCACCGTGGACCCCAACAAGAGCTTCACGATCTACTGGAGGGCTTTCGACGTTTCTCTCCTCTACAGCCCCATCGATACGTCCAAGGCGTGCTACAGGATCCAGATTAACTCCCCCGGCA